AAACCACAAGCCTGGAGGTGTGAGGCCCCCACGCTGCCCCCAGTCTCTACCAGCTAGAGGGTAACTAGCTCTCCAAACCTGCTGCAGGGTGAAAGACAACTAATTTAAATTGTTAACTAATTTAAATGTTGTTACTTTTCAATGGTCTCAGTTATGATGTTGAACAAAAGTAAAATTTGGAATCTATTCTATTTATTAAATGTCAAAATATTTTTATTCTTTCTGTATTTGTGTCCTTCCTTCCTGACTGAGTGACATGTTACATTCTGTGCATCTCATTGGCTACAGTCTGCAGTACAGACATCTTACCCTCAGTGACTGACAGGTAAACCTGATCTCCAACATCTGTACCTCCACTGATCTTCACACCACACCAGTAGTAACCAGAGTCCCCAGCTGTCAGACTGTTGATGGTCACAGTGAAGACTCGCTGGTCAGGATCATCTCTGATTGACACGTTACCCTCCTGTGGAGAGTCACTGTGTACTATGGGAAAACATGGCCTCAATTCTCTCCCTCTGCACCAGTATTTCACATGAGTTTTATATCTGTCACTATAGACACATGGAATGGTGACAGATCCTCCTCTCTGTACAGTCACCCCGGTCACTGTGGACACACCTGCAGGGACAGTATGAAAATTACCAGGCTGATTAACTCTCACTCCCTCTTACACCATATATACACATATTAATAAAGAGTCAGTACCAGCCCACTGTAGGTTACAGTACTAAACTCTGAAGAAATATTAAAACTTATTTTGATTACATGTTGGTCTTACTCAGTACTACAGTTTTGGGAAAAGAGTTTATTAAAAGATTAACCAGTCAAGTAGCTTAACAATAAGCATAAAAATACCGTATCTTATGGCTCAGATGTTTGAAAACTTCTACATATTTGTGACAGGCGTCTTACCATCAGTGACTGACAGGTAAACCTCATATCCAACATCTGAACCTCCACTGATCTTCACACCACAGGAGTAATAACCAGAGTCCCCAGCTGTCAGACTGTTGATGGTCACAGTGAAGACTTGCTGGTCAGGATCATCTCTGACTGACACTTTACCCTCCTGTGGAGAGTCACTGTGTACTATGGGAGGACATGAACTCCATTTTCTCCCTCTGCACCAGTATTTCACATGAGTTTTATATCTGTCATCATAGAAACATGGGATGGTGACAGATCCTCCTCTCCATGCAGACACCCTGTTCACTGTGGACACACTGTCAGTACCTGTGGTGAATAAATAAATAAAGATTTTCCACATCACAGTATCTCTGAGTATTAATGCTTGGCTTGTATAATACTTGGATTAGGG